ACCCCGCCATTTTCCCGGCCAGGCCATACCCCGTCCCTGCTTCCGAGGCTGCCGGCCACATGGCTTGTCCCCCCGCTGTTCCCAGGCTCGGGTGTTCTGCTTTAAGGACAAAAGAGTACTTTTAAATCCTGAAGATCCTTGAGGCAGCACGCTGAGAAAAGCAAGGTTTGGTGTTGGGGGTGATGGGACAGCTGACGGCCTGAGCGAAAAAATAGATTTAATAGATTTAGTCACATAAACTCCTGGCAGCAAAACCAGGAGACAGGTTATAAAAAATAGCATTTACATAAGCAAAGCAACATGAGCATCCACTAAAAAGCCCCAGTTCCCCCAGCCCAGGATTTGCCCCAGCTCTCCAGATCTGTCCTGCCCAGCGTGCAGCAGCCTGTCCGGCCCGACGGTTCCTCTGTCCCTGCTCTTCCCAGCAGTCATCTCCTCCTTGATTCACGTTGGTTTTGCTGGTAGTGCCTGGCGTGTTGCTCAGTCGCGAGTGCGGCAGGATCCAGCGCGTCTGGGCTCTGCCCCTGCCCAACGCCCTTGCAGGAGCCGAGTTCGGCGCGGGCTGAGCCCTCCCGCCGCCACCGCGGCCCAGCCGTCTCCGACCGAACGCGTGAGCTAACTTACCTTCGCTAACCGAGGTACTGTGGCTGAGCTAGCCAAGACCTGCTGCACCAAGCTGCTCGTGCCGCGCGTGGCAGCGGGTTCCTCTGTACCTGCTGGATTTAACTGAATAAAACCACGCGGTTCCTGTCCGTCCGACGGGGCTGCCAGTGTGTCCCTTGCGCCAGGTGCTGGGGAAGGAGCTGCACAAAAACACGCGTTTATCTCGCTGCTAACTACGCTGCGCACAAGCAAAGGAGGCCGTTTCCCTCCCTTCTGTGCTCCTCGGGGCGGACAGTCTGCAGGGCTGCAGCAGCCAGCGGTCAATAACTGCGGCTGTTTTGCTCTATGTCATGCTAATGAGGAGATTTCTACTGCTATGTTAGCTGCCATAATTAAAAAAGAAGAAAAAAAAGAGGATTTGCAGAGTTGGTGAGTGTTTTCATTGCCATTCTCTTAATTTAGAGCAGAATCAATACTCAGTATCATCCCGCATGCTCCAAGCTTCCCTCCTTCCAGCAGGTGCTCCTGTGCATTCATTAAGGAATCAGAGAGCTAACAGCAAGATAACCACCAAGCAACATTTGGTAGCTGTCTGCAGCAAGAGAAGAAATTTGCATTTGCATTTAACCCTTTAATTTTAACCATTAAACTTAACTGAGAAAGAAGAGCAATTCAATGGGAAAATTGCACGCCTTTTCAGTGTGAGCCTTCAAAAGATTCTTGTTCAAAACTCCATTTAATCTATTACACTCTCTTAGCTTGTTTTGCTCTTTTAATTCACTTGATTTCCCCCTGGAAAGTGACAGCCCACAATGGTAACAGACCAGCATGCCACAGACAGTGATGTTTTCCAGTCCTGGTGTGGAATATGGGAAAAGAAATAATTTTCAAGATGAACAGCTAGATGAAAATCTGTTCGTTCTAACTCTGCACCGTTCTAACTCTGGAGCGCCAGCCCACGTCCTTCCGCCAGCGCACCGCTGCCAGCAGCACTGCTGAGCGACGCCAACGCTCACCCGTCACCGGGAAGACCCAGCCTTGGCCTCAGTTTTTGCCAAGGGAAAATTTGTGTGTGGGGCACACGGGGCCGTGCACGCCGTGCTGAGCACGCGGGGATGTGCTGGGCACACTGGGCCGGGCCGTGCACACCGTACTGGGCACGCAGGGATGTGCTGAGCACGCGGGGATGTGCTGGGCAGGCGGGGATGTGCTGAGCACACGGGGATGTGCTGGGCACGCGGGGATGTGCTGAGCACACGGGGATGTGCTGGGCACACAGGGATGTGCTGGGCACGCGGAGATGTGCTGAGCACACTGGGCCAGGCCGTGCATGCCGTGCTGGGCACACGGGGATGTTCATGCCGTGCCGGGTGCACGGGGGCTGTGCTGGGCACACAGGGCCGTGCTGGGCACACAGGGCTGTGCACGCCGTGCTCCCCTTCCCGATGGGCTCCCTGCTCCCAGCAAACAACTCTTTTAATTTTACGACTAATTCACTTTTACCCCAGAACTCGAGTGACCACACTTGGCTGTAACTGCACAGTTCTACCCCAGGCCCTGCTGGAGGCAGCCGGAAGAGGAAGTTTAAAAGCAGGAGGCTGAAGCAACCCAGGGCAGGTTTGCTTGGTCCCGGTTCAGGCCAGGCAGCTGCAAGGGGCAGTGTCCGAGCGCTTGGGAGAAGCAAGCACTGAAATGTCAAACTGAAAAAAAAAAATGCTTAAGGTCAATGGGAAGTTCCTACCACAAAACCAGCAAGAAATTGCCCTCCAGGCCGTGACTTCCCGCTCAAGCAGGTCTGAGTGCAGGCAAACTTCAGAGATCCCCTTTTGCCTTCCCCCTCAGAAATGACGTGATTCCTGCCTGGCATCGCCGACGGGCGCCACGGGCGTCTTTCTGCATCAGCGTTCACGTGAAGCCAGGAGCCAGCGGGAGCAGCAGACGTGGAGCCGGGAGCGCTGCTCCCGACGGGCAGGAGCGGAGCAGCGGCCACGGAGCCGTGTGGGAGCAGAGCCCTGTGCCCAGGAAGGGCCCCCGTGGCCGGGGAGCAGCTCCGTGCGCACCGGGGCCTCCCCGCCGAGCCGCGCGGGTGCAGGACAGGCTCCCGGCCCCGCGCG